TAAACAAGGAGCAAGAGAGATACAGGGGCCAGGTTCTGTCTCTCTCTCTTTACAACAACTTACTTTTTCAGGAACTAAACTGGGTCCCCTGAGAAATATAAATCCCTTCTGAGGTGCTCCACCAATGACCCAATGACCTTTCATTAGGTCTCACCTCTTAAAGGTTCCAGCACCTCTCTCTATTGCCACACAGAGGATTTAGCCTCCAGCACATGAATCTTTGGAGATATACTCAAACCACGTCCAAATCATAGCAGAGACCCTTTGAAGATAAGATGAAAGTATTATCCCCAAAACATAGTTCATAGTTCACTAGTCCTGCAAGAGGCACCACCATAGTCAAGTAAGTATAGGCAATACTATACTAACTGAGCCCTCTTACTGACAACATTCATTAACCTAGTGAAGTCAAAGTTTAGAAACTTGCTTTACTTGAGTCAATCCAATCCTTTCCAAATTTATTTGAGAAAGAATCTTGTCTTTCCCTATCACCACACCACCTTTTATTTTTTTAATAGTAAAATAAAAAATAATAAAGTCACTAAGACAAATGCTGGTGAATTAGATAATCATTATTTCCCATTTTTTTCTGTTGTTTGTTTATGGGCAGTACATAGGAATATATCTGAGGGGTTAGGTGTGCTTGCTTTGTTTATGTATGCTTCTATGCTAAAACCCCTCCTATTATGCATAAAATGTTTTCCTTAATGTTTGAAAGATTGCCAGCTAGATGTATTTATTTTAAATCCCTAATTTGACTTATACTGTTAAGAAGATTTATAGTCAGGGATTCAAGGAAGGGCTACCAGAATATGTGGAATAGATACAGAAGAAGAGGTGAGGAAATGTTGACAGGATATTTGCACTTTCTGAAATGTTATGTTCAGTGTATTCCCCAAAGAAATATGCTGTTATGTATGGTTTCAATAGGCTCCCATGGACTGTCAGGGACGCTTAGATATGATTTACAACTTTGCTTTCCAGGGAAACTGCATCCAGCATTCCAATTTAGCAGTGAATGTTAGGAGCATAAATTTTAAGTTGAACACAACTGGTACAAAGATTGACTCCAAAGCCCAGGAAATAAATGCAATCAGCATCCTTTATTTGTTTCAATGAACTATCTTTCTTTTGGTGGTAAGCCTTTTACTTTCCCAAACTCAGAGAAGATGGAGATAATAATAGAACAAAAGTTTCCATGACAATGTTCATAGGATCTCACAAATCATAAAGGAATATTAAGAAGCCCTCATCAAGAATTTCCCTAGGTTACAATGAGGTTTTCAGCCTTAAAAAATACTCCTTCACAGGGTAAACCAAGTTATTTTCTTTTCTCATATGACATGTATAGAATAAATGTATACATATACATGAAAACAGCCCAAACTCAAAAAGCTTCCTACACTCATCTATAATTTCTTAAGGAAAAATATTTTTTGTTTCTTTAACTCACAGGGAATAAAATGACAGATTTCATCTGTAATGGCTGGATGTACTTCAGCCTGAAGTGAAACAAAAGCAAAGATAATTTAAGTAAAACTACTATTTTAAGGTAAAATATTGATACTTCATTAATATTGGAAAGATGCACAATGAAAACCTATGCTTAGACATGGAACATTTGTTTTCAGTAGGTTTCAGGAGGCTTACTCATCCAAATGGCTTCATAGCAGGTGTCCTATGAGAGCCCACTGGGCTGCCAGTTTCTGGTTAGGGACAGCTATTATATTTCCAGTATTATTCATTCTGTGTGTAGATTTATATTTCTATCTGGTATATTTTCTTTGTGCCTAAAAAAATCCTTTAACCTTTCTAGCAGCACAAATATGCTGGCATTTGGTAGATCTTTTTATCATATAAAATGGCCTTAATTTTACATWTATTATTGAAAGATATTTTCAGTTGAAATAGCATTCTAAGACATTTTCCCAATAATTGAAATATGTTATTCCAATGCATTCTGGCTTGCATAGTTTTGGGAGAGAAATCAGCCTTATCTTTGTTCTACTGGATGTGATGTGTACTTTTCCCCTCACATTGCTTTTAAAACTTTCTCTTTATCAATATCTTTCAGCAATTTGATTTGGATGTACCATATTGTTTTCTTTCTGTTTTACTCCTTGGGTTTCTTTGAGTTTTTTTAGGTTTGAGGGCTTATGGATTTGGAATGATTTTTAGTAATTACTTTTTTTAAAAAGTTTTTTTTTTTTTGGTCCTACCACCATCTCCTCTACTTCTTGTAGTTCAATTATCTGTGCATTAGACTGCTCGATTTTATCCCAGAGATCACTGATGCTGTGCTCATTTTTGTCTTTTTAAATGTTTTTTTATTTGGATGATTTCTATTGCTGTTTCATCAAGCATACTGGTTATTTTGTCAGGATATAATCTGATGTTCATCATATGCAGTGTATTATCATTTCATACAGAAGTTATATTTGGGACATGTTTATATCTTTCATTTATATCCTCACTATGTTCATGTCTTTCCTTACTTTCTTGAACATATGGAATATATTTGTAATAGCTGTTTTATTTTCCTTCTTTGGTAATGACATCATCTGCCCTTTCATAATCTGATTCTGTTGATTGACTATTATTCTACTTATGGGACATATTTTCCTGTTTCTTTGTGTGCATAATAATTTTTGACTGGATGCCAACCATCATATTTTTTAACCTTGTTGGGTACAGGATTTATTTTGTATAATTTTATATAGTATGTTGGATTTTTTTTCTAGCTTGAAATCAAGTTACTTGAACTCAGCTTCATCAATTTCAGGCTTTTTAAAACTTTGTTAATACTTAGCATCTTGATCTAGGGAAAGTGTACACTCAAATACTACAATATCCCGTTGAATGTCATGTGTACTACTTATATATTACAAAGTCTTTTCAGCATGGCTGGTAAACTATTCCCAGTCCTATGTATGGTTTACCTGAAATTTGACCTACTACTTTTCTGTGTTTCTTATTTCAACCTTAAGTAATTTCCTCTCATCATGCATTCATCCATATTCAGTCAAAGGCTGAAGGAACCCTTTCACAGACCTGTAGGGTTTTTTTCTCTGTTAAGATCCCTTCCTTCAGACATTATATCCCACAGATCTTAAGGTCTTGGCCTCCTGAAGTTCTAATTTTTGTTTCTTCAACTCAGTGAGACCACCAAAGTCTATTTGAGTATTTCTTCACAATATTGCTTTCTAGAACCTGCTACTTGGCTACTGGTGAAATCATAGGTGTTATTATCAGTTCTTTCCCTTCTCTCTAGGATCACAGTACTTTATTGCTTATTCTTCAATGTTTAAAAACCATTGTTACATATATTTCATCTGTTTGTTCTGGTTGTTTAAYATGTAAGAGTAAATATGGCACCTATAATACCATCATGTCTAGTATGATATGCTTTTAACGCTGAAAATAAAACCCTATCCCTACTCTTTACTAGATATATCTTCTTGCATCATTGGCACTCATGAAAATGTGACTCAGTTTCCAAATTACTAGTAATATTAACCTCTTTGTGACCTTTCTCTGTGGAGAAGCCTGGGCATGAGAGGAATAGCTGATTTGTGTTTATGTAATCTCATGTTCTTCTATAATCACCAGTTGGAACTTATGTCAGTGGTTCTAGGATTTTTAACAGGTCTGGATTTGAATTCATATGTCTAGGGTAATTACTGGTGTTGTTGGCTGTGTATTTAACTTTCTTAGATTTTTTTTTTTTACTGGAAGATGACACACAAGTATTTTACTGTCTCCCTACGAGCTTGATTTTAATAGGAGCTGACTGAGCTATATTTCCAAACACAAATATGAGAGAATGGAAGAGATTATAAATATGGAAAAGTAACTTTTACGGCATCCTTTCCCTTTACATTGTCTAAATGGACATTACTAAAAATGAATCACAGCTGAGTTTTCTAACTTGGTCCTTTAATGGGTAGTTGCTTGCAAGAATATGAATTTTTGGTATTTTATCCTTATTTCCTATTCCTTTACTCCTTTTCTTTCTATTCTTATCTTCTGATATCCTCTCTTTTCCCCCTAAAAATTACATATGTGGCCATATAAATTTCTTTAATTTCTCACACTTACCATCCATCACTTTTCATGTCTCCATGAAATGTGCCTACAATATTCTTTGCCTATGACATTTTCACCACTTTCTTTCTTAAATTTTTCTCATATATTCTTTAAAGTTCAGGTCTGACACCATCCAGTGGACTAACTTGTATTGAATTGTGTATATGATATATATATATATTCCTTTATATTCATATCCACAGTTCAAGGGTAAGAACTACATAGTGGGTAGTAGTGTGGACTATACAGTCTGAGTCTTTGAACCTCTGAGTTCAAATCCTGGTTCTACCCACTAAATTCTGTGTAGACGCAGCTGCATTACTTTTTTCCCCTTATGACTCTTTGTCTTTAACTGTGATCATTGTAATACTCTTTCATAGGGTGATTGTGATGATTTGGGGGAATAATATATAACATGCCTAAAATAGCACCTAAGCACTCTAAAAGTAGCAGCTATAATTATCAACGGGAGCTAAATTTTAAAAATAGGGCTTACTTGATTTTTCAACTCTGTAATTCAATTGCTCCCTCAAGTGCCTCCTAAAATTACAAAATGTTTCATGTTTTTCTTTTTAAAGAGAGAGTGAGAGAGATAGAGCGGTAGAGAGAGAGAGAGAGAATTTTTKATATTTATTTTTTAGTTTTTGGCGGACACAACAACATCTTTGTGTGTATGTGGTGCTGAGGATCGAACCCGGGCTGCACACATGCCAGGCGAGCGTGCTACCACTTGAGCCACATCCCCAGCCCTCATGTTTTTATTATAAGAAAGACTGCCCAAATTTGAAAATTATGCTTTTTATTATAGTCACATAAAATAAAGTCAGTTACACCAAGTTGTCCAAATACATGGTGAACTAAAGCTTCCAACACTTACAAATTTTATACATATATCTATGCATTTACAAATACATACATATGTAAAAGATATATATTTTCTTCTAAAATAAAGTGCCCAAATGTTGATATATGGGGGCATAAGAGGAAGAAGAGAGTTATAAAGCCTTGTTAGTTATAGGCTGTACTTTTATAATATAAGAATCTGTTTTATGCACATTTATTCAGATATAATGAACTCAAATCATCTGTTCTTTTCTGAATTCTTCTAAGTGAATTAATTTACCTAAAATGTTAAAGAAATCAYGTGGTCATCTTAATGAAGCAGAGGCTTCTTTTTCTGATGTGACTGGCACAGAGCCTTGGCTTCTCTACAGAGGGGTGTTTAAGCTCCATTCYTAATTACCCTGTTGTTTGGATTATTGTCTTTCTGCTAAGGTGATAAACAGAGTGAGAAACAATCAGGCATCTCTAAGTCTAACTCCTACATGCATGCAATGAAATTAGAATTTGGTGAAAAGATTGCTAATGTTTTACATCACCTTGGGTTTGAGGAGAAAGCTTTATCAAGATTTGAATAGTGGGTCTTGCTGCCTCTGTTATTACAGAGGTGTATAAGCCAAGCAAGAAGAATCAGGGCATAATGGTTAATATGTCATTGAGAGAATCAACTCAAATTGAAATGAACTCTATGACAGTGAAAAACCTTCATGTGTTCATGTTTCAAGGTAAGAACAAATTGCAGGGTTAAAGAAAAACTCAGTGATTTAAGATAATTCAGAAAATCCTCACTTCAAAGAGGAACTGGAGTTCTAGTCTTAGCTCCAACAGCTCAGCTGTCCTTCTGGTGTTTTTACTTTATTTTGTGCTATCTCAGACATTTATGATGATCATTGGTAGTCTTTGACAAGAAATGGAATTTAAAATTTAATTTAAAATGCCTCTGAAAAGACCAACTTGTTTAAGCAATGTGGAGATGCCTGAAAATAGCTGAATATGAGCCCAGCCATTTCTCAATTTCTGGTAGCTACATCTTCAAGCTGTAGCGGAGTGGATCCTATGCAAGCAGGAAAGGGAATAAYTGTCAGCATTGAAACTGCACAAGACACTCTAAAACCCCAAACTTATGGAAGGTGGGGAATAATGAGAAGCCCAGACAATTCCCATAGTCAAAACAAGGAGTGGGGTATTTCATTTCATTTTTGGAAGGAAAAAAGAAGGGCACAGTTTCCAATGACCCAACCCACCTCTGCAGTGCCTCTGAAAGACTAGAGAAGCCTAACTACTGATTTTGGTGAGCATCTTGTTGATGGCCTGCTTGACATGTGTGGTGGAGCTGCGTCTCCTCGTCTTGCCCTGCACCATCCTCCGGCGWCGCACCTCTCGACATAACTCATAGAAGATCTCTGTGATGTTCCCTTCTCCAGTGCAGGCAGAGCACTCATAAAAAGCACATGCTAATTCTGTGGCCAGCTTCTCCCCTTCTTCTGTACTCACTTGTCTGGAGTGGTCCAAATCAGCTTTGTTTCCAACCAAGATTAAAGTCACATTCTTGGGCTTTTTGATCTCATCTAGGATGTTCTTCAGTGGTAGCACTTCCTCAAAACTACCTCGGTCAGTAATGTCATAGACCAGCACAAAGCCTTCCCCCCATCGCATGTGCCCTTCTCTTTGAATGGTGTCTTCCTGTAGGCCAAGAAAAAACAGCAGCTCAGAAACTTGGAGGTGATCACAATGCATAGACACTGCTGATGCTGATAATAACCCCTTAGTCACCATTCTTCCATATCCACTTTTGTTAAATGTCTTGGTTGTCTGCCTTCCCAAGTTTACTTTCTCAATGAGTTTGGAATAGGAGCATTCCTTTCTCATATCAACATACTTCAGGCAATTGAAAAGTTTCTAACTCATAGACTAAATTTCTACTTTTAATTTTTCTTGCTATATTCTTACTTTTATAATCACAGAACTATTAATAAATTATACCCTTGGTTGAGCATATTGCTATTGAGACTTTTTCTCATCACAATTGAAAATTAATAAATTAATAATAGACAAGTGGTTGTTACCCCAATATTTGGGTATCAGAATTAGAGCCAAAATTCAGCAAGATGTACCCTCTACCTTTTTTTGGTTTCTTTGTGTGTTTTAATCTCCTTTCTCATTGAAGACAATTAGGGAAAGAAAGAGTCCAACTTTAAGGTGGGCCTTTTTCCCCCCTATGCCAATACCCCAAATATGTCACACAGTACCAATAATGATGGAAACTTATTAAGTGATTCTTCACCGGAAGGTATACCTATAATTTGAGAAAGCATTGCCTTTAAAGGTTCAAGTGGTTTCTGGAGGCTGTGGCCTCTCTCAGTAGGCTCAGAGTGTGAAGGTCAGAGCATAAAGAGGTGGTGATGAGAAGTACATGTGTGAAATTAATTTCAAGAACATTTCATGGATTAAACTCTTCAACTCAAGTCTTGTTGGAGGCACAGATTATTGACAAAGGACCATGGAAAACTCCAGTTTGTTAACTCATCCCACTGGTCATTTCTATACAAAGATATGAAAAATGGTGTTCTATATGTGTAATAAGAATTGTAATGCATTCCTCTCTCATGTATTTAAACAACTAAAATCAATTTAAATAAAGAATTAAACCTATCTATGAATTATTTCATYGTTTCAGCTCTAACTGACCTCAAATTAGATTTACAAAGAAAATATTTCAGGAGAGAGTTCCAAAATAAAGCATTTTGAAGCAAACAGACAAATTTATATATGGCCAGAGAAGTCAATATATACTATATACTTTCTCTTAAAGGGTTACCTTGCATATTAGCATATAAAACCTCTGCAAACTATCAGTAAAGGCACTTGTTTAAGTATATCTAAGCATTTCAAAGTACATTTGACCATGAAAACTTCTTATTATCCTGCTAAGCCACCAAACAGGTGGGAGATTCCAACCTGGACAATATATGAATATTACAGTATTTTCAAAACCTTCTTGAAGCACAGCGAAGTTTACATAAACATTATACACAGGCTCCTAGAAATGTGTTAATATATAAAATTGTAGAAATAAGTTTTTAGTTATGCAAAAGTCACTTGAATGACATGCCTCAATTTTTGTGCACATTATGCATGTCTTTTTTTTATTTGATGCAGAAAATATTTTAGTTCAATTTCTATTCACCTGACCAGCAGTATCAAGGATCTCCATGGAAACAACTTCGTCATCGATGGTTGCTTGGTGTCGGTAGGTTGATTCTGAGAGAATGAGCAAATAAAGAAGACAAACAGGTAAATAAATGCAAGATTTAATTTGATCTTTAAAATGAGAAATTAGGCATGGAACAGCATATCTGTCTTGTAGTACAGGGGATTGTGCAGGCTAGAGAAGCAAAGAATAATGTGCAAGAATGTAGCATCTTTGTACTCCCAGAGCTCCAGGTATAATTTCTTTCTACTTATTTATTTATTTATTTATTTATTTATTATTTTGATTTGTTATGTATGACAACAGAATGCATTACAATTCATATTACACATATAGAGCCCAATTTTTCATACCTATGGTTGTACACAGGCATAATTTCTAATGAGCCACTACTTCAGGGCATAGAATGTGGGAGCTCTCTTTGTTTCCTTGATTCTCTGTCTGCTCCTCTTAAGGTTCCATTTTATTTCATTTTTAGGTCAGTTCTCTATAGTGCTCTTTTCTATCTCAATAAACTGAGGCTTCTATTTTCTAGAATGACAAGGTGGTTTTCCACARAATGGATTTGGTCATGATGCCCCAAAATGTCCAGTTTCTGTAAAGCTCTGTTAATTTATTTTCCTAACAAAGTTACATACAATCAGAAACTAATATTTTCTTTCTAAACCTCAACCCGATAGATATTAGAGGGAAGTGGATAGATCTTACCAAATGATGTAAAACATGGGAAACACTTGGGGCAGTAATAGACAGGTGGGACCCAGTGTTTGTAGTTGACAAGGAACAGTAACCCAAATTAAAGGAGGGCTGGGAAGCTTGGAAGACAAAAGGAACAATGCAGATTTCTCTCATTTGTGTTGCCTCTTCAAAGCAGGATACAGTAACTAGTCAGTATCAGCTGAGGTGGGTCAAGAGCAGAGTGGTACCTAAGCTGTGAGCGGGTGAAGAGAAGTCAGCAGGTGTAAGAAGACTAGGTAAGCTTGAATGTAACCCTCATCACATAAGTGAAAACCAAAGGTAAAAACCAAGCACTCTATAGGAAAACTAGAACAACTGAAATAAAGGAATCAATAAATAATTGGCAGCTGATGAAAATCAGGAGGAGGAACTCTCTCAGGTCTCAGGAAGTGATAAGAAGAAAACCAGAAGCTGAAAACTTAATAGGAAGTATGGTCAATGCAATTAGAAATTTCATTCTTTATAAAATGAACCTCAAAGACAGAAGAACAAAATACACAGAGATGTGGAAATATTCAAAGTTGTGATGACTAAGAATTTCCCTGGATGAGAGTCATTGAAACACTTCAGATCAAAATGACTAATGGAATATGTGAGGAAAAATTTTCAATCTAAATTTCAGTGAAATTTAAGATATAAATGGAAAAGAAAAAAATCTAAAGAGATTTAGAGAATAAAAGCTCTTCACCTACAAAAGGATATGACTCAAATTTGACAATGGACTTCTTAGCAGTGACACCGGATTTATGACATCTATGGCATAAAAGAAAATAACAAAAGTATACCAAAAGCAGTCCACAGTTACAATTCTATGCGATTCTAATATATTATATATCAGGGTGGAGGTGAGGAGAAGACCTGGGAGGCAGGTGTGAGTAAACACACTTATTTCAGAAGACAATAAAATACAGAAAAAGTAAAAAAAAAGGAAAAGAGAATAATTTTTAAAATATATAAGAAAATAAATAAAATACAAAATATCATGCATGAGAGAAAAAGTATGACCTTTTATGAGAAATTATTCTGACTCCATTAACTAGTAGTACAAAAGTAACAAGAAGAAAACAAAATAATAATATATTTGAACATAGATTCAAAACTTATAAATAAAATATTACCCAATCGAGTTCAACAGTTTAATAAATATATTATGAAAATAGCATTTATTTCGGGAATGGAAATAGTGTTTACATATTATCAACACAATTTCATACATTTATGAACTAAAGAAGACAAATCACATGACTGACTCTATCAAGAAGAAAAATACTTTCCTCCCTAGATCTCATTATTAATTTAAGAGTTTTAAAAATATTCAGAAAACTAAGAATAAAAGGAATTCCCTGACATGAAAAAATGTTACATATAAAACCCCATAGCATACATAAAATAAATGGACTAAGTATACAGATTGTCTTCAAACTCTTAAGCAAAGAAAGTATGTGCTATACAAAAATATAATCCAACATGGACTACAAACACTGGATAATTCTTTTTTGTATGTGTGCGTGGTGCTGGAATTGAACCCAGTGCTTTGTACATGCGAGGCAAGCACTCTACCAACTGAGCTATATCCCAATGTAAGGCATTCTGCTGTCATATATAAAAAATTAAAATAAAAATACACACAAAAATTTTAAAAAACCACTGGGCAGTATAAGATAGGAAAAAATAAATAAGAGACATAAGTGTAATGGGAGTCCACTTTACGCTCTGGGTACAAACCTTGATGCTTGATCAGGATTGACTTATTTTAAACCTGTCATGATTGTTTTTCCTTTTCTTCATCTTCTCCTTGCCCTCCCTAACAGTGGGGGAAAGGGAAATGAGATGAACATTTTTCCTGTCCCCAACTAAGCTGTCATGTCCTTCGATGCCTGGAAGAATGTCACTGCCCACAAGGATAAACAAGCTCTAGACCTGGGAACTGGAGCAATGGCTTTCTCAAGGACAGCAGCAGACTGACACTGATTAATTCTATTGACTCATGATATTTGGATCCCCACCCTTTATTCCTCTCTTAAAATCCCTGCGTTCCCTCTAGCARGGAGAATCACAGCTTCCGGGACAGGAGTCCTCTGCTTCTCCTTTGCTAGCAAAACAACAAAACATTCTTCTTTATATCAAAACTTGTTCTCATTTTTGGATTGGAAATGGAAACAAGGACTGAGCTTTCAGTATCATAAGGGTGGGAAAGGGATTTAAAAATCAAGGCTATGAATTTGAGGTCTATCAGAATGAATCACTAAAATTCCTCTATATCAGCAAAAACCACATAGGAAATATAAATGACAAGTAACCACTCCCAAGAGCAGTAAAATAAATGACAATATCTAAGAAACAATAGAGAACAAGCACAACCAGCAAAGTTCAGAATTTCATGAAAAGGCCCCAATGATACTCAAATAAATAGGAAAATTTCCAAGAAAAGGGCATGAGCAACAATTTTTAAAAGATGTTAAATTTCCCTCAGAGTGATCTCAGATTTAATGCAATTCAAACTCAAAGTCTGGTCAGACTTTGTGAGGAACTAAATAAGCTTATCTAAAATGATGTCATGCAAAGTAAATAATACTACCCAAAACAGTGTGGTACTAGTGTCAGAATGTGCAAATTCATAAAGCCTTAAACAGATGCTCATTTATATAGGAATTTAGTATATGACTGAGGTGGCACCACAACTACAGTGGGGTGGGGGGGAGGAAGAATACATTGTTCCATAGATGGTAATGGGAACAACCAATAAAGAATAGTTCACTCTATGAACCCCCTGGAGCATACACTAAAAGTAAATCCAGATGGATTAAATATTTAAATCAACTAGACTTGAAAAGTAAACTTAAAACAATAATAAATTTAAAATATGAAAACACACACACACAAGGATCTAAAAATAAACAAGTTGACTATATTTAAAAAAATTTATGCAATACAAAATAAGCTAAAACCTGGAGAAAGTATTTGCCACATCAAAACCCAGAATTGATAAATACCTAAACTATAGAGGAACATTTAGAAATTAAAAGTAAAAAAGAYGGATGAGGAGAAAATAAATATAGGCAAAATATTCAAAGAGGAAATTTGCAGAGGAGAAAGACCAAGTGTATATAAAATGATGCTGTACCTGGTTACTTATCAGAGGGAAGCTTATAAAATTATATTACAATCATAGAGTGGCCCAAATTAGAAAGTTAGATAATGAAATGCTTGGTTAGATTCTAGAGAGGTTTCCATGTACCAGCAATTGGAGTGTAGACTGGCTCAGCATTTTGGAGGGCAATTTAACAATATTAAATATGCATATACCCTAAGAACCTGCAACTTCCTTCCATACATGTACCCCAGGGAAATTATAAAACAAAACAAAAACCTGGTCCAGGCTCTTATAGAAGTTTTTCTCAAAGTCTAGTGTCTGGGTCAGCAAAATCAGTATCAATTAGGAATGTATTAGAAATGCAAATTATCAGGTTCCACCCCACACCTATTGGGAATGGGATCCAGTAATGTGTGTTCTGACAAGTCCTCCAGGTGCTTATGATGAATGCTAAAATTTGAGAATCATTGATTTAAGCCAAGGTTTTCCCGGGTGATAGAAGGAGTTCACTTTGGAGGCAACTAACTGGGTGTTTAACACAGGGAAGACGTGTTAAATGTGGCACACTAAGGAACGCTATGCAGAAGATACATAACAACATATATGGACTTTATAACATTCTGTTATAAAGATTAGAAATAGAGACACAACACAATAAAACTTATGTAAATTTAAATGAATAGACAAAAAAATTATTTTTATAGATATAATAGCACAAACTGAATGTTTGAACAAAAATTGTTTTCAATGCTTTATTTATGTTCTCATTTACTCTTCACAAACATCTCATAAAATTTTTATTACTATTAGCTCCATTTTAGAAAAAGAAACTGAGACATAACAGGAGTAAATAATTTGCTGAAGCCCACAAAGGTGATAAGTGGTAGTAGTCAGATTTTGGACCAGGAAGACTGGCTTTGGAGTGGCTTTGGGATGTAATAGAAAACCTACATTTAGTATTAAATACACTAGAATATACTTATGGGAAAGAGGAGCAAAAGGGTGTCAGAATAAGGTATACAGGGACAAAAAAAAAACAATAATATAAAGGCTTCATATATACAATAATGGCAAAGTGCAATGAAAAGAGAATTTAACTAACATAATTACTATCTTGATCAAACTACCTAAATGACCAACCAAGCAAGCAAAAGTTTCTGCTTCCACAGGGATAGGCTATGAACAAGTGATCCTATTATTATTATTATTATTATTATTATTATTATTTTGTCTATCTACCTTTCTTCCATTTTATCCACTATTTTGCAGCATTTTGACAATAATTTTACCATAAATATAAATTCCTACCCAAAATACAAACTGTAGGAAGGAAGCTGAGTGAAGTGGCATGAACTTAGCCTCAAACATAACGTATGTGCCATCCTCACTGTGCCATGATGGTTACCACAGGCATGTACCTTGCCATTGTATTTTCCAAAAGTAGTATTTTAAAATGAGATTAGGTGTATTTTGTACTATTTTCATTCTCTTAGAACTTGCAATCTGTACACAGTATGAATGCTGATTCTCAGTTCTAGAATATTCCATCCCTATCATGAGAGATTATTAGTTTTGTATGATGGAATGCTCTAAAATTCCGTTTACAGCAGCTACTTGTCTCTAACTGTTCTCTCAATGATCTCCTTCTTCCATCTTCATTGCCCAAGCTCAGGGAGAAGTCTGGGCAGCGTCACACGCCCTTTGGTTTTCGGCTTCACTGTTCTTTATACTGACTTCCCTTTTCAAAAGACTGGCATCAGCCCTGGAGCCTGGAAAACAGAATTCTGGGCTCTAGTCCATCTTTTTTTTTTTGCACCAAAAGTTGTCTGAGAGACAGGGCAAATTTTCTCGGTTACTTCCATGATAAATAGGATATGTATTTCAACCACAGAAGGCCGCAGCAGGGGGGCAAATAGGATAGAATGAAAATTGTCTGAAGTCGTGTGACTCTTTGGCTGCTTGTTATTGAAACAAAAAGGATGAAATGCAGGAAATGAGAGCATGTCTGCCACAGGCTTAGCAGTGGGTGGCAGTGGGGATTTCATCTAAGACCAATACCAGTTTCACACCATTTTGAACATATTTTCTTTAAGTATCTTTCATTAGGAACCCATTTTCTCTATATGTGAAACTCTGGAAGTACTAGCCACAGAGTCGAAACAATGTATGTGTATGTGCTAGCTCCTCTGAGATAGTTTTGAAAAAATGCACTAAGTTTTTTTTTTCTGTAATAAATGCTGATGTTCATTTTAAAACACATGAGAAAATGTGTATGTGTCCGGATGGTGATCAGACTTTTAATTTTCTTCCTACTAACAAAAATGATAATTTGAGTCTCTGTTTTTATTTTTTATTTTTGAAGGGTAGGGGATTATTGTTTAGGAGGTACTTCTAAAATGAATCAAAATGTTGTTTACTGTAAAACAAATATTAGCTTCAAAATGGATTTAGGCATATTAAAAAATCCTAGTTTCACTGTGTATGTGAGATATATGATTTAAAACCTGCATTCAGTCAAATTTTTATAAGTAGAAGTATATTTTGTATACTCCGAGAGGAGTTCATGCTCAAAGGGATGTTAAACRTGGTTAACTCTTACAGTAACTTAGTTGGTACTTTTTTTTTTTTTTCAAATTTCAGCACTTTAGTATGGACACTAAGAGGCACAGAAACAACAGCAGTTAATAATGTTATTTATTTTGGAGTGGAAATTGCATTGACTTCAGTTCTACTGCTGGTCTGACTAAGAAATCTTGGATAAAAATTTACTTCTTTAGACCTGCTTCCTTATTTGTCAAAGAACTATCTCCAAGTTCCCTGCAGTGCTGTATTATATAGTGCTCTGAGTTGGCTGAGCACTTCTGCTTTGGTATCCAGTTGAGAGAATTTGTTCTGGGTGTGTATCTCTCTTTGTATAAATCTTTCCAAGCAGAAAGAGCTGTAAGGCAGGCAAGAAGAACCACATAGGGAATCCAAACACCAGTGGGTCTAATCTGTTTGGATCCCACCCTTTTACTATGTAGATACAGAGAGCCTCCATCCATTCAAACACAATGCAATGTGCCTCCTATGCACCAGCATAGAAATGTGTGTACCAAAATGCAGTCTCTCTCCTCTCCAAATGTCTCCAACACACACACACACGCACACACAGACACACACACACACTCACTCACTCACTCACGGGCACATACACAATTGAAGACAATCTAAGCCTCTGTTTGTATCCTCTTCTATGACTCACATTCTTAGAGGGCAATTTAGCTCTTGGAGGTAGAAATTCAGTTCTTGGTTGAGATTATACAATATGGATTATGTTTGTCTACAGCCAGAATTTTGCGGCCATCCCCATTAGGGGTTTTCTTGGTTAGATGGTCCACATCCCAAATATTACAAACTTGAGTGTGGGTTGTTCATAAACAATTACTGGCCTTTGACAAAGATTTTATTAGTCTGCTGTGAAATGCAAAAAAAAAAAAGAGGGAAACTAAAGTCATTCAATGGAAAGGATTAAATGGCTTATTTTTTGTATCCTTCAAAACACTGAATATTTTTTAATAAAACTCCCATTTTTATGAAACAGAAGTTTAAATATGTGTAGATTTAGTTCCCTTCACTTTCTACCCCTTACATCTCTAATTGAAATTCTTATGATAGACCCTCTTCATAAAAAAAGCAAAACAAAATAAAACAAAAAAGAACAAACAAAACCAATGGGCTTGACATCTAGAAGTTTGGGACTACAGTAGCAAGCAATTTCTTTCTAGAATTATTTTGTAACAGTAAATATTCAAGTTTTGTTAATATGTAGAATGGTATTTATGGCTTCCAACTACATGGAGCAACAATTTTTTTTACAAGTTTAAAATGCTGTCCCTTGTTTCTGAGGAAGACACTGAATTCGGAATGCAAGACTATTTTTTCCCCTAGCTATGTCAGTTTGCTTTGTAATATAGCCATTGCTGTTGGTGGTTGTCTTGGACTTTTAAAATAGCCATGACTTCAACAAAGGATCTGGTCTTCTCTATAGTATTGTGAAGTTAAGCCCAGGAAATGCTAATTTCTCTTGAATCAAATGAATTGGAGTCTCCTTTATGGCAGAACATTAGTGGTTTCTAGTGGTGTGCACACCCACACAAATCCCAGTCTCCAGAGTGAAATCTAAAGGAAACCATCACCTGGGAGTGAGTCATGCACCTGTTACTCCTGAAGTCCTAGGACAGAGCGCTCTTGTTGCCTAGCAGCCACAGTGCTCTCCTAGCAGAGCTGAGCAGCGAGGGCACTCAGAGAAATCTCGCCATTCTCAGTGATGAAGCCCGCATTGCCAGCAATGGAAACAGGCTGGTTCTATTAATAGCAGTTGTTTTTCAGAATGAATAAAACAAAAGGAAAATGGTCCACGTAAGACTAATTAAAAATAATAGCGTTAGTTACTGGAACATATTCAGAGCAAGAGCAATAAATGATTATGAGATCCTTTTTAGAGCATTTCATCTTCATCGAGATGTGTGAGTATAACAAATAATTAGTATTTTTTAAACTCCTGTAGATCATTGAGATTCTCAGATAATCTCTGTAAACTTATATAAATAATGAAAATATAAGAAGGCAACAGGTATCTACTTAAGTGAGGAAAACAATAAAAAAATAATTTTTAAAAAACAGGTGCATTTTTAGATCCAAATAGATCATCTTAAATTTAGTGTGTCTATATTTTAAAAATATGTTGAAAAATTTTGATGAACAAAATATTTAAAAGAAAAATCCTAGAAGAAGAATAAATGCAGAGAGATATGTTAGGTTAAAAACTTGAATAGCATAAAGATATGAATCTTATAAAAATAATTTATAGTTTTACTGCAAATCCAATCAAAATCATCATATGATGACAGTTTGAAAACTGACTTGAAAAAAAATACACTGGAGAAAGTAGCCAAGATGATTTTGTAAAACACAGTAATGAAATAAAATTTCTTAGTAATGCTGAGTAGTAAAATATTGCATACAAATATCAAGAGTATAGTATTGAATGTGATGTGAAAAGCGAATCTAAATTGTGTCCTATCATAAATGATTTATTACACGAAGACAATACTGAAAGTAATGTGGAAAAGATATGAGTTATTTAACTATGGGAAAATTGCTCAAATATTTGGAAAAAAATGTTTGGTCTTCACCTTGTACTTCTCAAGTAAGTACTGAATAGACTTAAAAATTAAATATTGAAAAATAAACTGCAGAAGCATTCATTATTTCCTGTTCAGTCCTCCTTTACAGCATCATCGGATATATATCTATTTACTTACTGATTCTGTTCTTTACTAGACTGTTAGCAGGTTAAAAAAAAACAGAGGTTTTTCTTTTTCTTCTTTTTGCCAATGAATTTATCTGCAGTATCTGAACATGACTGACACACAGAAGGCAGTTCATAAATATTTGTCAAATAAATGAATGAAAATAATAAGACACAAGAGAGAAAGAAGGCTCCCCTTTAAGCTGAACATATGTAACCTTGGAGTGATAACAAAAACCAAAGCAAAACAAAAGAGCTCAGAAATAGTCTGCCCACACTTTATGCATAAACATTATTGTTACTTTCAAGATCCACAGACCACACATTTTGCATCTTTATTTAAACACATTTTAGTCTGATTCATAGGAGAGAAGAATTGGTGGGAGGACACAGTTTATTCTTACACTTTCCCCAAATTGGTATTCAGAACTTTGGGTTTTCTGTTAAACTGCCTTCAGCTTGCCATTCTACCCCACACCAAATTTGCTTTGCCTGTTTTTTCTCCCATTGGAGTGGGGCTCTTTTTTAATGGGGGGGTATCATATTGCCACTTCCTTGTGTCTTAGGTTTAACTTAGTCTCTTCATTTTCACGTTAAAATCTTGCAGGGTTCTAAGCATATACAACATGAAACACAGCTCTTGCCTCTTAGAGAGATTCTTTGCATGATATGATAACTATCTTACTTCCAAAGCAGCTGCAAGGGGCTTTAAAATGTCATAATGGAAGATGATAGAAGGAAACAAAATTTGACCTACCGAGGGTGGGATCATATTCCCAGATGAACCGTTTGGTCAGAAATCTCACTACAAGAGCTGTGGGGGGAAAAAAAGAACAGCATGTCAATCAAATTTTCGAGTTTGATAGAGTTCTTAATCTTCTAAAGAAAGGGAAAAGATTTATACAACGTTATATGCATTTAATATTTCTGTAGTGTATATAATCCCAATAAATTTATGTTTATTTCAATACTTTTCAATTTCATATTGAGGCCTAAAACTGAAATCATGTTGTAATGTGCTTATTATGCATTAATCAACAGCTTAGATGTGTACCTTCAGTCAAAGGGTTAAAAACAAAAATATCACCATGTGACAATGCTCATCATACAACATTTTTAGGAATACAATGATTTCAGATAAAAAGAATCAAAATAGAGGTGTCAAAAGTTTAAATACCAATAAAGAGTGAACAAAATTATGTCATTTGCAGGAAAATGGATGGAACTAAGAAAGTACAATGTTAAGGGAAATAAGCCAGACTCAGAAAGGCAGTATCATGTGGTTTCTCTCTTATGTGAAAGCTAGAGGAAAAAGATAGATAGATAGATAGATAGATAGATAGATAGATACATACATACATACATACATACATAAAAATAGATCTCTCTAGGCATATGCCACATGCATGTAATCCCAGATGTTTGGGAGATTGAGACAGGAGGATTTAAAGTTCAGGGTCAACCTCAGAAATGTAGCTAGGTCCTAAGCAACTCAGTGAGATCCTGTCTCAAAATAAAAAAAACGGGTTTAGGATATAGCTCAGTGGTTTAGTGTCCCTGGGGCTTAATCCCTAGTACCAATACATACATACTATGAAAGTAGAAGGGAGACCAATACAGTAGGGGAAAGCGGATAGAAGGAAGTATTGAGGAGTGAAATTGATCCAATTATATTATATGCATATACTAATACGCCAGAATGAAATCCACTRTTCTGTAGAGTTAATATGTACCAATAAAAGAAAGATTGACAATCATGAGTTAAAATCATGATAAGTTTTACTATAACGGAAAGATCACAMGCTAGTATTGTAGATTATAAAAACATAGATATTAAAAATTAAGAATTCTACTGAAGATTCATTAAAGCTCCTCCAAAATAACATTGATGAAATACAGTCAGAGCCAGGTCTGGAACTGTGCTAAGCACTTTACATGAAGGAATGTCTCAAACCTCATTCCACCCCTGAGGCAGGTACTATGTCCCATTTTTTAGATAAGGAAACTGAGGCCCTGAGAGGCTAATTCAGTTGCACTCATCTAACTAGTTAGTGTCTGAGTCAGGATTTGAATTCAGGAAATTTGTTTACAATGATTATAATATATCCATTGTATCCAACTGATTTTAAATCCTAGGTCACCTGAATCATATTTCACTGGAATATGGGTTGGAGAAAAAATTCGGAGTATATGGACTCTATTGTCCTTAAAAATTGATGGGACATATGCTGAACATTTTCCTATACTTGTATTAGAGTTGATTAATACCTGGTCGTTAATACTAGGAAAGATGTCAAAGGGGTCATCACAGATGTTTTGAATATGGACTGAAAACATTGAATCCTTTTTCTAGAAACATGTACATACAGTTTGGCATGAAATTACACAGACTTTCAAGCCCTCTGAAGACCCTTGATGGTCTCCCTGGGATTCCACTGACCTTAATTAAAGAATCAATGCCTATAATTTCCTAGTTTTAAAATATTGGTTATTAGTGCATTTTTATTTTTACTGAAATACCTTGAATGTAGTAGCCCAAAGATACTCTTGAAGAAATAATACTAATTAGTTGAAGATTATTGCCATTCTTTGTCTATTGTCACTTTTAGGAATAACAGGGTTTTTTGCCTGCTACCCTCAAGTCTCATGTGGGAGATGACAGTGAAAACTGAAATGAGAACTTTATAAAAGAGACCATAGCCACTGGAGACTAAAAGTAGCAGTGTCCTTTCTAATTACAGAGTGGGAGGCTGGATTTGAGCCGAATCTCTGCAGAGCCTAAAGTAGCAAGGCCCCTGACCCTCTAATTCTTCCCACAGTGAGCCTATCTGTGGTTTGAGCTGCAATGTTCACAGTCTGTCRCTATCCATTCTCTGGAGACTGGGATTTTAATTTTTTTTAAAAAATATATGAAGTAGTAAGTACAGACAGATTTTTTTTCTCTTTTTAAAATTAACAATGTTAGTAAACATAACTGCCCATGGGATTCAAAGAGTTTCATCTTTTGTTAGAATATGTAATTTTAACTATGAAGGCTGTAACCTGGAGAAAATAATTGCTTGTCATCTTTAAGAACGGAGATATCAAAATTAACTAATTTTCTTTTTTTAAAAAAAAAAAAAAACATTTTTTTAGTTGTTGAGAAATGTTTATTTTATTTATTTATACGCAGTTCTGAGAATTGAACCCAGTGCCTTACACATGCCAGGCAAGTGTGCTACCACTGAGCCACAACCTCAGCCACCAAATTAACTAATTTTCATATAACTGAAATTGGAAGTTCTCCCATTCCAAAATCATTGAAATGTTAATCATTTCTCAATCTTTCTGAAATGTATTAGGTACTTGCTTTTCAAAATAAAATATACTGAACATAATTACATCATTTTTAAATGTCTGGATCTGGTAAAGAATCTTGGTTAGTGGCCTGTGTAGTTATGCAGCAATATTTTTGTGAAGTGGATGAAGCAAAATAAATCCAGAGTGCTAGGGCTTTCAAAGTTTTAAAGCTTTTGAATGTGCATATATAATTTTATTCTTCCTTCACATACTACATCTGTCTTCTTTGGCTATGGCCACTGAAACCACCTCTAATAAACTACCTGTTCCTCTGTTGTTATTTTATAATGTCATAAATTGATAAGCCACATTTAAAAACTTGTTACAATTTTGTATAACACAGGAGGAAATTAGCTCTGGGGTTAGGTCGGAAAGAACATGACTTCTATGCAACATGGAGTCATAGTGTTTGTTGCTGAAAAGGTTGTTCCTACCAACTTCTGAGTTATTTGCTCCATTTTTACAACATAACCAGAAAGGCTAATTCAGGTAATCCCCATAAATATTTTCAAGTATTCTTTTAAAAGAGACACATGTGAATAATTATTTTTAATAACAGAATCATGCATTTCAGAAAATATTTCAAATGTGTTTTAAAAACACTGAAAAATTGACATATTAGCTATGCAGTCTTTGAAGATATGATTTCATGTCTTATAGGTTACTTATAAAAAAAGAAATGCATTYATTTTTAAGTTCTCAAAAATGTCTCAATTTAAAACTATTCAAGAATAAAAATAATAATTTTACATCTGTGGACATGATGTCTTTTCAAGGTTTTATTATTACTTAAGTTGTGTCTGAGGTACTTAGGTGACATTTCACCATTTACTGGTGTGGTCATCAAACATCATCAGTATTATTTATTCCCAATTTTTATTTTAAGTTTACTACGGAACATGGTAGCCAGGTGCAATGTATCCTTCTGTTTCACCTCCTCAGCCACTGTGGCTCCCATGGCCTGTTCTCACCGTTAGCACCCAGTTACTTCCTCAGCAGCTCTGCTTCTCCCGACCCTCACAACCCCTTAGACTACTGTCCACAAAGCAGCCAAAGATTCTGTCAAGACATAAACCATCTCATGTTATATCTTCACTCTCAATTCTCCATGACCTTATGGCTTTACCCAAATCCTTATGGAGTGCTTCCTCCATGCTGTGTTCTGCTCTAAGCATTTGGAATAATCCAAAGATCCAAAGATATGGGGTTTACCTACTACTAGGGAGCTACTGTTACTACTACAGCCACCACCACTGATGAGAGAAATAAAACGACCAAGATGATTCTATATCATTATTTTTATCATTATGCTTGATTTCCTCTTTGTTATTTTTTTCACTGTTTTATTTGTTCATATGAGTTATACATTACATTAGGAATCATTTCATCATAAATATATAGAATAATATTTGCTCTAATTCAGTCTTCAGTTTTTCCCTCCATACTCTCCCCTTCTCCCTCCCCTTGTTTCCTTTATTCCACTCTACTTATCTTTCTGTTATTTATTTACAGTTTTTTAAAACAAATTAGTGTCTCATAAAGATACACAAGATTCACTGTAGTATATTCATATATGTACATAGAAAACTTAGGTCAGATTCATTCCACTCCTTTTCCTTTATCTCATCCCTCTTCCCTCTCAATCCACTTCTGCTACTGTAGTGATCATCCTTCTCCTCCTCCTCCATCTCCTCCTCCTCCTCCTCCTCCTCCTTCTTTTTCTTGGGGGGGTACTGGGGATTAAAGGAAGGACATTCAATCACTGAGTCACATCTCCATCCCTATTTTGTATTTTATTTAGAGACAGGGTCTCACTGAGTTGCTTAGCACCTTGCCACGTTGCTGAGGCTGGCTTTGAATTCATGATTCTCCTGCCTCAGCCTCTGGAGCCACTGGGATTATAGGCATGTGCCACCACTTAACTCTTTCTTCTATTTTGATGGAATCCCCCAGTCATTTGTTTTCTCTCTTTTCTTATTTATTTTAGACTAGCTTTTTCATATCAGAGAAAACATTCAAACTTTGACTTTCTGGGTCTGGCTTATTTCACTTAACATGATAGTCTCCAATTCCATTTGAATAAAATGACAAAATTTCTTCTTCTCTATTGCTGAATAATACTCCATTGAAGATATAAATACATTTTCTTATCCATTCATCTGTTGAAGGGTACTTAGTTTGGTTCCATACCTTGGCTATTATAAATTATGCTGCTATAAACATTGATGTGGCTATATCACTATAGCATGCTGAGTTTAGATCTTTTGGATATATACTGAGGAGTGGGATAGCTGGGTCATATGGTGGTTACATTCTTAGTAAAAAAAGCACCATACTGCTTTTCAGAGTGGTTGCACCAATGTGTAGTCCCAATAAAAACATGAAAGTGTATCTTTTCCCCAAATCCTTGCCAACATGGTAGACTAAAAACTACTTATTGAATAGATGAAAAAGATGCATCAGTGTATGCCACAG